GGTAGAATGATGTCTTTCTTGGCCCACCCTGTCCAAGGTGGAGATCACAAGCCAAAAATCCATCAAACCATTTCCGTTTCACTTACCTGACATTGGTACATGTTACGGGGGCTTTGGTTGAAATCAGAAAACGGTGTTAAACTCGCAATAGCACTCAACATGCTGCCTGGTTTCAGTTCAAGATGCGTGGTTTCCTGTGCATTCCAAAGAAGGAACATATTTAAACAGATTCATCAAGCTACAAAAATAAAAATAAAAATTTGTGCAACAGATGCAGTGATATTTGGAATGGAAAATAATAGTAGTAAAACCTTTAAAAATTTTAACATGTGTCAGATACCAAAATTTTACCCACGACAAGATCGCATATTATTACTCAAAAGATGCGTGATGTGTAACTGCAAGTGAAGGGGGGGGGGGGCTGTAAAAAATTCCTAGATCTGCCCTGTTGGTTAATATTCACTGGCTATTACATCAAAAGTTCAAGGAGCTTGGAAGGGGCAAAACGCTTCATAATACAACAAACAATAGGTTAAAGTGTGCTAGCCTACTGAGATTTAACATACATACCACCTCATATGCTTCTTCTCTAACAACCGCAATATTCATATACACCTAAAATGCACAAATGATTGTTAGCTACGGATGTACCAAAACATTCAGAGCTTTCTGATAGCTTCTATTAAAATGAATGAGATAAATAAACCAAAAAAAGTAGAAAATATCCTGAAAGAGATGATTTGCTCTTTACAATTACTACATAAGTGATATAAAATTGAACAGGAGACAAACCTGTTCAAAAGTTCCAATCATTTCCACTTTATTTGCGGCCAGGTTAAGGACAGGCCTCATAAAGCGAGCTGGGGTGGAGAAGATATACAGGCCTGGATATTGGCTTGCTGCTTTTGTAATGGGCACAAGACAAATCTCCAACATCTGAGGAATCTGACAGGAAAGAAACATAATGCACTCAAAATCAGGATTGATATCACAAACGGCCCAGGGGTTTCATAAATTTTTTACAGGAGGACACCAGAATGTGAAATCCAAGTAGAAAATCTGCAAGGCCCAAGCAGCTCTGCTAAACTGGGGGCTCAACTATTTAAAACATGACGAGGCAGTTGGGCAAAGTTCTGTTCACAGATGGTCAATTTGCCCATTGCCCAGCTCTGAATGAAACCTCTGCAAAATATAATGCTGATGGCATGGGCTAGGCATCATTGAAATCTGGTTTGGTTTTCCACATTTTACGATTAGTTCTTCTTGATAGTCATCCTCACTTCATAATTAAAACTTTCTCACTGTGTTTACTCTGTCTCCTGGGTTCAACAGGTCCACAGTGTTACCAGTGAGACACAGAAAGTATAAGCTACCAGTACATTGTTTTCCAGATTTAACACAGAAAAAAAAAAAAAAAAAACAGGCTAAACAGTCTCCATTTTGTGAACATCCAAGGCTGCAAATAACTAACGGGCACTCGCCGGTCACGTTGTCCGGTCAAACATGCTTTTGCTTGGACACTACCCGTTTTTGGCCGGTCAAATTTTAACAGTCCGAACTCTTGCGATAGTGAACCTAGATTGCACAGTAATCCTTTTACAACTAAAAAACAACTGAATCCAAGTCGGTCTGGCAATAAAAATTACACGTCAATCATTTTTAATTACTACTCTTTACTACAGAAGCAGCCTTGCATTGAGTACGTGGAACGGTTACGCAAGATACAACCGCAATTGTCCGTTTTACTTTACATCTGGCAAAATCACTTATAATTAAATATTACACTCAGAGCCCTTTTTTTTTAAAGTTACAGTTGTGAATTTTTGTTAGAGCAAAAGAGTGGTTGGATTCTCCAGGTTTTTGGCCTTTTGCTCGCTTTTTGCACTTTTTGCAACAAATGCTACTTGGAGTATTCTCGATGCAAAAAGATTATTCCGATCATTCAATCGACCAAACAATCAATCACTTTATTTAAGAGTAAATGATGGTATCTAGCCAAAGGTAAAACCCTCTACTAACTGGGAACACTTAAATAAAGTAAATAAAATAACGGAAGACACGATGATTTGCGGTCGCGACAGGACTTGATGACATCGCGGAAATTTGCGACTGCCGGGAATTTCTCGACCACTAATTTGTCTACTTTTATATTGTTTTTTTTTTTCTTTTGGAAACATGACTGTGTCCCTTGTGATTAGCAAACAGTTAAAAATTAAAATTTCTTTGAACGAGTCGGTAAAGGACCGGACAAGATGTCCGGCAAACCAAGGATTTGTCCGGTCAGTACACAATTTTGACAACACATTGTCCGTTGACCGGCCGTTATTTGCAGCCCTGACATCACTGTTTCACTATGTACCTCCTCTTGTCCAAGTACTTTTAACATGCGCAGTCTGTTGGCAAGTGATGGTGCAAGATCCATATCAACTCTACCAATCACCCTGCCGTCTAACACAACCATGTAACAAGACTTCATATCAGCAGTTGCAGGGGCATCAATCAGTGTCATACCCAATGAACATAACAGCCTGGGAAGGTGGGAAGTCTGTGGAACATCATTCACGACCTGTAAGACATAGGAAACCTGTTTTAAAACTAGCAACATTCTTGGGAGTTACCTATGTAACACTTCAACTGAACCATGCTGTAGTGTAATCTTTGTGGGTAAATATTTGCAGCTGCATAAGAATATCAGCTAAGATAATATCCTCATTCACTGAATAGAGGTGATTTTAAATGTGGAGTGATCTCTCACCCTTCAAATCCCAGGTTCTGATAGTTAATTCTCAACTCTAACTACACATTTTCATGTGAATTAGTTACAAGAATTTGTTGTTAGATCAGGATAACAACTTCCATCTTACAAGTTTGAGTATTCTCAGGACCTGTTTGCTAGATATTGTATGGATAATATAGGGAGAATTAGCATTTTCATCACTTCTGGGATTTAAAAGGCTAACCAATTTTTGAAGATGTCTGATGAATCCAGAGTCTTGAAAATTGCACACAGACACGTACACAAAGAGCAAAGCAGATACAACTTACTTTAACCACATTTGAGAAATTTAAGTAATTACAAAGTTTACCTGACATGATGCGGCCAAATGGTTCAAAAGACCACATGGTGCCCCATCAGGAGTATGAACTGGACATAGAAACCCTTCAATGCAAAATCAGAAAACAAGTGGTCACTGAAAAACTGGAAAGTAACACAGATAAGAGATTCAATTTGAGAAGAGCATACCCCAGGCTTCTGGTAATAACTTCCTCACTGATGTTGTTCTCATCTGAGCAAAGAAGGCACCTCGGTGGACACAACGGAAATGAGACAGAAACCTGTAGAAATTGAGTCGCTCAGCCACCACTGTAAATCCTGATGACTGGAGAATAAAATCAATAAATAATTTTTGTTTCATTATACAGTAAAAACCCGCAAGTAAGAACCTAAAAATTAAGAACCTGTTAGCCTAAAATTTACCATTTATACCCCCTATAAACAAGAACCTATTTAGCCTAAGAAAATTAAAATAGGTTCTTATTTTCTAAAATCAAATAGTACATTACAGGTACACTGAAATTATTTACTGTAATCATAATCAAAGAAAAACCAGATTGCCATTGCTGTAAAACATGATTTTCTTAAGAAAAATGAGTGCAAAATA